TGACCATCATATGTTGAATCAATTTTGCAATCTTGGGATAAATTGTACTTGGTCATGGTTTGTAATTCTTTATATGCTGCTGGATTTGGTTTGCTAGTATTAGGAATTTTTCTATCCATGTTCATAAAAGATATTGGTAGTTTTCTTGTGATGTCTTTGGTTTTGATATCAAGGTAATATTGGCAGCATAGAATGAGTTGGGAAATGTTTTTTCCTCTTCTCTTTTTCGGAAGCATTTGAAAAGGATTAGTGTTAATTCTCATTTATCTTTGCTAGAATTTGCCAGTTGTAATAAATTGAATAGTGTCCCCATAAAATTCATGTCCGTCCAGAAATTCAGTGTTATTTTATTTGAAATAGGGTCTTTGCAGATGTAAATGGTTACAGTGAGATCGTACTAAATTAAGATGGGCCCTAAACCCGATTGTTGGTGTCCTTATAACAAGAGAAGACAAGACATACAGAAAAGAAGGTCATGTGGGGCGCCTGTTAAGTGCCTGCCTTTGGCTCAGGTCATGGTCCCAGGGTCCTGGGATTGAGCCCCGCATCGGGCTCCTTGCTCCACGGGAGGCCTTCTTCTCCCTCTCCCACTCCCCCTGCTTGTGTTCCCTCTCTCGCTGTGTCTCTCTCGGTCAAATAAATAAATACAATCTTTAAAAAAAAAAGGTCATGTGAAGAGATGGAGGCAGAGATTGGAGTGATGCATCAGTAAGCTAAATAATGCCAAGAATAGCCAAGAGCCACCAGAAGCTAGGAAGAAGGAAGAAAGGAGTCTTCCCTAGAGTCTTCAGAAAGAAGTTTGGCCTAGCAACAACTTGATTGCAGACTTCAAGCCTCCAGAACTTTAAGAGAATACATGTCTGTGGTTTTAAGTCACCAAGTGTGTGATAATTTATTATAGCAGCCCTAGGGAAGTAATAAACCGGTAAAGCCATCTAGCCGTGGGCTTTTCTTTGTGAGAAGTTTCTTTTAATTATAAATTCAATCTCTATTTCTTATAGGCCCATTCAGACTTTCTATTTCTTGAGTAGTTTCAGTAGTTTGTGTCTTTCTAGGAATTTGTCAATTTCATCTAAGTTCTCCTTTGTTGGTATACAGTTGTTCATAGTATTCTCTTATAATCCTTTTTATTTCCGTAAGCTCAGTAGTAACATTCTGCTTTCATTCCTAATTTTAGTAACTTGAGGTGTTTTTTTTTCTTTGTCACACTCCCTAAAGGTTTGTCAATTTTGTTGGTCATTTCAAATAACCAACTTTTGGTTTCATTGATTTTTTTTTTTTTTTTAATTTTTCTATTCCTTCATCCAAACATTTTGCTTGCTTTGTGTTTGCTTTTTTTTTATTTTTCTAGTTTTTTAAGGTGGAAGGTTAGATTATTGATTTGAAATCTTTATTTTTTAATGCAACATTCACAGCACTACTTTTGCTCTACTCTGTAAGTTTTAGTATTTTAGCAGCTTGGGTTGTCATAACAAAATGCTATAGTCTGGGTGGCTTAAACAACAGAAAATTAATTTCTCAAAATTTGGGAGGGTAGAACTCCAAGATCAAGGTGCCATCATGGTTGGATTCTGGTGAGAACTCTCTTCTCTCTTCTGGCACCTTCTTGCTGTGTCATATGGCAGGGGGGAGAGAGCAAGAGCAAGCTCTTTGGTATCTCTCTTATATGGAAACTGATCCCATCATGGGGGCCCCCACCCTCATGACCTCATCTAAATCTAATTACCTCCCAAAGACTCCATCCCCCAAAACCATCACATTAGGGCTTAAATATATGAATCTTAGTGGAACATAATCCAGTTATATTTTTGTTTTCATTCATTTCAAAGTACTTTCTAATTTCCCACTTGATTTCTTATTTGGCCTACTGGTTATTTAGGAGTGTGTTAATTTCCACATATTTATGACTTCTCCCAATGTATTACTGATTTATAATTTCATTCCATTGTGGTCAGAGAACATACTTTGTATAATTTCAGTGTTTTAAAATTTTTTGAGATTTGCTTTGTGGCTGAACATATGGTCTCTCCTGGATACTATTGCATGTGCTCTTGAAAAGAATATATTATTTGTGGTTTTTCTTAAGATTTTGTTTTTTTAAAAGATTTTATTTATTCACTTGAGAGAGAGAGAGGAAGTACAAGTTGGGGGAGAGGCAGACTCCCCGCCCAACACAGGGCTTTATCCCAGGACCCAGAAATCATGACCTGAGCTGAAGGCAGATGCTTAACCAGCTGAGCCACGAAGGTGCCACTTAAGATTGGATTTTTGAGTAATCTCCACACCCAACGTGGCACACAAACCCAAGATCAAGAGTTACATGTTCTGGGCGCCTGGGTGGCACAGTTGGTTAAGCGACTGCCTTCGGCTCAGGTCATGATCCTGGAGTCCCGGGATCGAGTCCCGCATCGGGCTCCCTGCTCAGCGGGGGGTCTGCTTCTCCCTCTGCCCTCTTCCCTCTCGTGCTCTCTGTCTCTCATTCTCTCTGTCTCAAATAAATAAATAAAATCTTTAAAAAAAAAAAAAAAAGAGTTACATGTTCTACTGACTGAGCCAGCTGGGTGTCCCAATGTATTGTCTTGTTGAGTGTTTTTTTTTTTTTTAAAGATTTTATTTATTTATTTGACAGAGACACATTGAGAGAGGAGCACAGGCAGGGGGAGTGGAGGGGGGAGAGGCAGGCTTCCCGCTGAGCGGGGAGCCCGATGTGGGGCTCGATCCCAGGACCCTGGGACCATGACCTGAGCCGAAGGCAGACACTTAATGACTGAGCCACCCAGGCGCCCCAAGTGTTTTTTGTTTTTTTTTTTTTAAGTAGGCTTCCCGCCCAGTGTGGAGTCCAGCACGGGGCTTGAACTTACCATCCTGAGATCAAGACCTGAGCTGAGATCAAGAGTCAGATGCTTAAGCGAGTGAGCCATGCAGGTGCCCCTGTTGAGTGTTTTATAGATGTCTGTCAGGCCTAGCTGGTTTATAGTGTTGTTCAAGTCTTGTTTCCTTGCTGATCATCTACTCTGTTATTGCAAATAAGGTATTGAAGTCTCCAACTATTGTTGAACTGTTTATTTCTCCCTTTAGTTCAGTTTTTGCTTTATATATATTGGGATCCTATTGTTAGGAGCATGTATGTTTATAATAGCTGTATTGATATATCAAGATGTTATATCTTTTATCATTATATAATGTCCTTCTTTGTGTCTAGTAACAAATATTGTCTTAAAGTCTATTTTTTCTTGTTATGCTTATGGTATACAAGATCCCAGCAATATATTGAGGTTTTATAAGCTCCTGTGGACATCTCATTCCTCAGCTTTTCCTTTTAAGATTTTTGGTCTCTTGTTTACTCCAAATATTATCCACCACCTTAGGCAGCCATGAACTTAAAACACCTTCCTGTAATTATTTTTGACAAATGCCCCCTGGGAAAAGGAATTTTGCACTTGAGGTTCCAGTCAGGTCAAATATAGACAGCCTTGCAAATGGGGTCTTGCAGGGAACTATTGTTCCCTCCCTATTATCAGATAGGTCAGATGATAACAATTCTTTGGGAATGAGGCTTTGAAAGAGTTCCAGCTCCCTGTGCTCCCTCTCGTGGTTGTGAGGCTGCATGGGAAATGTGGATTGTTTTCATAGCTTTTAGCTTCAACTTGTAGCTGGAAAGTAAGGGATGGGACCAGGGCAAGTTAAAATGCCCAAAATTTGCTGTTCCTATTGAAATTCACCATTTTTCTTAAATGCTGAGTTGCTGCAAGCTTTTAACTAGTTTCCAGAATTCTGAAAAAGTTGATTCTGACAGTTTTGGCCAATTTTTTCATTGCCTTTGAAGGAGAGAATTTTTCAAGGTCCTTACTTCGTTATTCTCACTAATGTAATCCATTGCATCCCTTTTGGTAAACGTAGGTGTTGGGGCAACAGCAGACTTTCCAAATCAGCAGTGTCAAGCCTGTCCAAGAGTTTACTGAGTCAGGAGGAGGTAACACTTCTAAGTGGAGAAATAAGCAAAGACCTTAAGCAGTTCTACCTCTCAAAGGAAGAGGAGGAGGAGGGAACCATGATTTGAGTTTCTGCATACTAGGTGCATGTAGTATTTTGTTTAAGCCTCACTACAACTTTTATAAGATATATATTGAGGTAACTAAAGTGAAGGGGATGAAATGCTGCAGACCACAAAGCTACTAAGTGGCATACCTAGGATTCAGACCAGAAAAGGCCATTCCCTACTTTATTTCTCATTTTTAGGTTTTCATTGTGTGACTGCTGCATTTAATTGTGCTTTCTCATTTAATCAGCACTCGGCTCTTAAAGGGCGGTTTTATTACCCCTATTTTACAGAAGAGGAAACTGAGGCTGAGGGGTTAGGCTTCTTGCCTGGGTTATAGTGTAGGACAGAGTCAGTTCTGCTGGGCTCCTTTACCCATACCGTTAGACAGTGTGCAGTGCTGCTTCCAACCCAGGATTACCACATATCCTCTCCTGTTCACTGGCTTCTGGGGACCAACCATGCATGCTGTTTCCTAGATAAGGAGCCCTTTGTCAGGTCTGAAGTCTTGGAGAGACCAAGGTCAAAAGTAATCCTGTTGGCTATCCATGTCTTTGTGTATAGTAGAAAGAGCCCTAGGTTAGGAATTCTGGCTTGGCCACTGAATTTGGCTCTGAAAATTTGTATCTCAGTTTTCTCATCTGTAATTTTTGAAAAATGGGATATGTGTGGAGGAAAATAACTGCATTTTACTTTTGTAATTTCTTTTTAATTTGTGAGTGTATTACAGTGATTTGTGTGCATAATTTGGGTATGTATGTTCAGTTGTTCACTGACGGGATTCTTAACCATAGATCAGAGGTCTCTGAAGTGAGGGGTTTAACTACAATGTGTTCCAGTGCCAATATTCTGTCATGATTCACCAAAAAATGCCTCTTACAATTTGGTTGAAAACTTGGTGATGTTAACTCTTTGGTTACTGTTAACCTTGATATCTTTGGTTATCTTACCCTTTTTCAAGTCTTTTCCCTAGTTGTAATCTCTTCAGCCAGAGACACTCTACTTCTGTGCAGTGCTGTGGTGCTTGCAATTTCCAGAAGTGTATGCTGTATGTCGCTGGTTTCAGAAGGTAGCCTGCGGAACCCACAGGGTAGTTGTTGCCATTTTCCAGCCTAGCAGGCAGGATCAGGGGCCCCATCTTGCTTTCCTTGCGTTGTACCGCACTTGGAGCAAACTGTATAGCCTTGATTATCTTTGTGATCATGGAAGCCTGGGGCCAGACCATTCTTGGGTCTTCTTTATGCCAAAATACCAATCACCATGTCCAGCAACCTCTAGAACTCAGAGAATTCTCTGGGTAATAAAGATGTGTAACTCTTCTAAAAAGAAACTAAGAAAACCCGAGCAACACTAATCACTGCTCACTTCCTTAGGATAAACCCTCTGAGATCCGTTCCTCCATCTGAGGAGGCTCCACCCTTCCTTTGCCCTGCCCAGGGTTTCAGACTCCTCATTGGGAGGTTTACATGGTACTCTTACTTGACTTGCTTGTGACCTCTTTTCCTCATCCTTTAATGAATACTGTTCTCCTCACCATCTTTGAAAGTGTTTTGACACACCACCAGTTGTAAGATGCATCCTGATTACAGATATTAAAATGGAGAAAATGTCTTAGAATCTCTGAAAAATGGTAGATAGCTTCCTTCCTTGCCTAACGCTGAAATGGGAGAGCAAACACTGCAGAGACTAGTAATGCCAAAGTATAGCTGAGAGCCTTACAGAGTGAGCAAATATAGAAGCCAAAGGTAACTCCAAGATGTAGCAGCCGGTGGGGATTATACAATAAATATCTTCTAAAATAGATCCTCTTACCAGAATGTTGCTGGAATTAGTGCTTACCGTCATTGAAGAAGCTGAAAGGGCTCATTGCCTATTGCTGAAAGAAACTGGAGGAATGAATGTTTAAATTCCTTTAATTCAAGTAGATGAGTGCCTACTACATGGGCAAGGAGTCGTGGTACCCTAAAATTAGTGTGTTTTTAAAGTTTGTAGTTTTTAAGAAAAACTTAATTTTTCACGAAAATGTGACTGAGTAGTTAATTCTATCATTAAATAATAAACCTACTCAATTTAGTGGTAGTTCTAGCAACATCAGTTCTTGCAGAAAAATGAAACAGTCACCCAATTCCCACATGAAAACAGTTTCAAAAGCAGTTGGAAAATTCTTACAGGTTATTCCTGACTTCTTATCTAACAAGTATTTTTCTCAGACAAGTGGATCTTCATTTACCCAGATGATACATAGATGTTTCCATAAGTTTAAGAAGTATATTATTCCCTGTGAAAAAAAGAAGCATATTATATAATACAGCTTTTCTGGTCTTGGCCAAAGAACCCAATTCTGTATATTACTTGTCTCTGGCTTGACCATTTTCAAACAATAAGTATAGATCTGATCATTGTTTATTGAGAAGAGTAAATTGTTCCATAGAAGTAAAATATGGATCTAAGTGAAGGAAGTCAGCTTCTAGAGCATTTGCAGTTTCCCAGGAATTTTCTGACTGTACCAGTGCATATAGTTTGATACTTACTTTCTTTTAAAGATTTTATTTATTTGAGAGAGAATGAGAGAGCATGAGAGGGGAGAGGGTCAGAGGGAGAAGCTGACTCCCCACTGAGCAGGGAGCCCAACGCAGGACTCGATCCCGGGATTCCAGGATCATGACCTAAGCCAAAGGCAGGTGCTTAACCAACTGAGCCACCTAGGCGCCCCTAGTTTGATACTTAAAAACATTGATTTCACTTACTTTCCTTAACTTGCCCTCCCTCACCCCCCTCCCCAGTGTATAATACTCGTAAATAATTGTGGTAGAAAATCTTATTCAGGTGGACTTTCAATCAGACTTTCTTTGTTCCTGTTTTTAACCTCCCTAAATTATATATCTTTATTTTGTAGGTATCATAGCAGCAAATGTTTTTGTATTCTGTTTATGGAGAGTACCTTCTCTACAGCGGACAATGATCAGATATTTCACATCTAACCCAGCCTCAAGTAAGTCTACTTATGACTTTATTTTGATGTAGAGGTAATATGAAAGAAATATGCTTTGTTATTGAAATGCTGTGAAAAGGATGAGTTACTTGTCAACAATTATAAGCAAAATCCAGAAGATAGACTGTAAGCTCCTTGAGGAAAGGGACCTCATCTCTCTTAGTCTTATGTCCCAGGTACTTAAAATGTGCCTTGCACATAGTAGATATGTTGACCCAAGATCCATGATCACTACAAGTTTACTCTTGGAGGATACTGTTATTTACAACTTCATATCTGTAATTGAAATAATTTACTAATTCTTTTTTCTAAGTAACTTTTGCCGTAAGGACAAGTTGCTTTCATTGAACTGAGAATTTTTATTGGTTGCTTACTAAGTAGAAGAAATTTAAGAGAATTTTTCACCACCTTGAAAAATACTATGGTAAACCATCTTATTTAAACTTCTTAATTTGCTCTTTTTGTTTCCTATTTTTAGTTTTTTGTAATAGTAATGAAAAAAATCTAAAAAATCTAAAACAGATCATTTTTAGATCATGGCTGTGTGTCCTATGATTACCAGACTGTTTTTCTTTCTCTTGTAGAGGTCCTTTGTTCTCCAATGTTGCTGTCAACATTCAGTCATTTCTCCTTGTTTCACATGGCTGCAAATATGTATGTTTTGTGGAGCTTCTCCTCCAGCATAGTGAACATTCTGGGCCAGGAGCAGTTCATGGCAGTTTACTTATCTGCAGGTAATAAGCTTTAATCTGGGGATCTTTCAGAGTATAAACACTTTCACCTATCTGGAGAAGGAAGGAAGGGAATGATTATAGCCATATTCTACACATGAACATTGTAATAGAGAATTGTACAAACTGTCTATAGAGAAGGATACCACAGACTGATGGGGTTATCTTTTCTGCTTCTCATTTTGCTGGTTTCTTCTTAGATTATTTAGTATGTTTAGTTTTAACTCAGGATAGACGGGAGTTAAGGTTTAGTGTAGAATTTAAGAATGTCATTTTTATCTCGTTAGGCTTTGGTTTCTTTAGCTCAGGTCCACCATTTTATAAATAGGTGCTTCCCAGACTTCCTGGCTGTCTCAATCATCTGGATCTTTGTTAAATAACCTTAAGCTCATTTACCACAGTGTGTTCAGTTTCCAGAAGGCTTTAGATCACAACTTTGTAATATTGTCAAGAATGAGTTTATATTCTATCTTTGCTGCAAGCATATATCTTAATCTGGAATCACTCCAGTCGGTCCTGGAGATAACATCATTTCCTTATTTCAACTAGGAAATGGTAGTAGTGGATTCCAGGTTCCTAGATGCTACTAAACTGGCAAGTGGTCAGTTAAATTTTACCTCTCTGTTTGCAGAATGTACTTAATTAAAAACCACACAGGGGTACCTGGGTGGCTCAGTTGGTTGGGCGGCTGCCTTCAGCTCAGGTCATGATCCTGGAGTCCCGGGATCGAGTCCCGCATCGGGCTCCCTGCTCGGCGGGGAGTCTGCTTCTCCCTCTGACCCTCTTCCCTCTCATGCTCTCTCTCATTCTCTCTCTCTCAAATAAATAAATAAAATCTTTAAAAAAAAAAAAAAAAAAAAAAAAAAAAAAAACCACACAGCATAAAAATTCATTTCTGAAATCCCTTTTTTTAAAATTTTTTAAAAAAATGGGCGCCTGGGTGGCTCAGTTGGTTAAGCGACTGCCTTCGGCTCAGGTTATGATCCTGGAGTCCCTGGATCGAGTCCCGCATCGGGCTCCCTGCTCGGCAGGGAGTCTGCTTCTCCCTCTGACCCTCCCCCCTCTCATGTGCTTGCTCTCTCTCATTCTCTCTCTCTCAAATAAATTAAAAAAAAAAAAAATCTTTAAAAAAATAAAAATTTTTTTTAAAATTTAGTTTATTTTTTAAATAATCTCTATACCCAAAAAAACAACTCACAACCCTGAGATCAAGAGTTACATGCTCTCCCGGCTGAGCCAGCCAGGCGCCCCTAAAAATCCCTTCATTTAAAAACAGTATATTTGGGGGTACCTGGGTGGCTCAGTCATTAAGCGTCTGCCTTCGGCTCAGGTCATGATCCCAGGGTCCTGGGATTGAGCCCCGCATCGGGTTCCCTGCTCGGCGGGAAGCCTGCTTCTCCCTCTCCCACTCCTCCTGCTTGTGTTCCCTCTCTCGCTGTCTCTCTGTCAAATAAATAAAATTTTAAAAATAATAAAATAAAAATAAAAACAGTATATTGGGGCACCTGAGTGGCTCAATTGGTTAAGCGCCCGCCTTCAGCTTAGGTCATGATTCTGGAGTCCTGGGATCAAGCCCTGTGGCAGGGAGTTTCCTTCCCTCCCTCTCCCTCTGCTTCCCTCCCTCCCCTCTGTGCCTCCCCCCGCCCATGCTCTCTCCCCCACTCATGCACTCTCACAAATAAATAAAATCTTTTGAAAAATAAAAAACAGTATATCTGGGAATCATACTGTAGTGTGGAAAAAAAGCACTTGAGAGCCTGAAGTTAGAAGACCTAGTTTTATTAGATCCTATTTCTGCTACTCGCTGTGTGATGTTGCAGAAAAGACTATACACCTCTCTGAGGATGATGATACTCTCTCATGACAAGGGGTTGTAGAAAGGATTAAATAGAAGCGTCTACCACAAGGCCCAGAATGGGTGCTGATTTTAATCAGTTTTAATCAAATATCCATGCATCTGGTCCCTCAAAACTAGAAACTGAGCAACATCTTTGGCCTGTGACAGAAGTGTATAGTTCTTTCCCCAAGCACTAGTTGTATTGTTGTAGGTACAAACGGGTCTTTCTCAGGTGCCATTAATCCCTGCTCTCTAGGAAGTTGTTTTAAAAATGAGCCATATTCAGCTTAGATAACTTTGGAGCCAAAGGGACTTGTAAAAGATCATCTAGTCTAGATCTGCAGCAGAGTCACTTGGCAAGCTGAGTAAAATATAGATTCCCTGGTCCCACTCCAGAGAATCTGATTTTAGTGTTTGGAGTGTAGCCCAGAGGATTCCCAGACAGTTGGTGGGTTTGGAACTAGTCTCTTTCATGTTATAGATGAGAAAAATGAGAACTGAGAAGTAAAGTGAATGACCTTAATGTCATTCAGTAAGTAAGTTGTACAGTTGGTCAAACTTTTTCTTAAAAATATCTGAAGTGATAGGTATTCATGCCTGCACCTTGTACTGACCCAGGCAGAAATCCGACACTGTTAGTCTCTGTGGGGTGGAGATCAGAAATGGAAACCATTTTTATACTTCACTAAAATTATCAAAATGTGACTTATTTCCCAGGTGTTATTTCCAATTTTGTCAGTTATGTATGTAAAGTCGCCACAGGAAGATATGGACCATCACTTGGTGCAGTAAGTATTTCTAATGTAAATTTTCTTAATTTAGTTTTTAACTTCATTTTGACATAATTTTAGGCTTACAGAAAAGTTGCATAATTATTACAATGACTTCTATATACCCTTTACCCTACTGTTAAGTACAGAAGCACAGTAAAATTATTAAAGCCAGGAAATTAACATTTGAAACAATACTACTAACTAATCTGTATCTAATTTAGAATTCATACGTTTGTAGAGCCTTGTAAACTCCAGGCCATAGCTTTTAACTGTTGGTCATTTATATATACTCACTGGAAAAGTACAAATCAAGAGTAGTCAGAACAGTTGGGTGTTCAATCCCCAAAACCAGAGAGCCTAATCTAGCATTGGAAAATTGAAAATAATTACAGATTTGATTCTGGTACTATATCCTTCTGTTTAGTCACTATTTGAGTGTCTGCTACGCAGATTAGACTAGTAGGTACTGTACCAGAGACTGGGGATACAGCCAGTGAGCAAGATGATCACAATTCCGGTCTTTAGGCGTTATGTTCTGGATGCTTAAAAACAAAAATACAAAAAACAAAAAAGCGCATATGTGTTTTTTGAGTTTAATGGCAGATTTCTAGGCACATGGAAATCTTTGCATAACATTTCTTTAAAGACTACACATTCATTTTGTACATATTTAAGTGCAAATCACTTAAATGCATTCATATAGGGGATTTCATATTTAAAGAAACTTCTTGAAGGTTCATTTTTAGAAAAAGAATTCTTAGGTAATCATCCCATAATGTGTGTGTTCCTCAGATTTGTGTGTACTTAATTTCTCAGTGAGACCTGTATCTTCTCCTATCACCTACTTGATTTCTTAAGCACCCCTTTTTCCCTGCATGGAATGTTTTATATATAAAATTTGGTGCTGGTATAATTTACATATTTCAAATCCTATCCTTTACCTCAGTCACCAACTAAGCATCTGTTATGTGAAGGCAGTGAAGACCACTGGGGTGAATCATAAATGGACTCTGACTTTGGTTGGGGAAAAAACATTATACACATACATAATACACACCAAAAGGGCTGAGTGATCTCTAGAGGAGTTTGGGTGTCCTCAGAGTGAGGAGACATTTCTCATTAACTGAGGGGATCTCGGAGGGCTTTTTTTTTTTTTTTTAAGATTTATTTATTTACTTTGGAAAAAGAGAGCAAGGGGGGGGAGGGGGAGAATCCTCAAGCAGACTTTTTAGTGAGTGCAAAGCCCGACACGGGCTTAATCCCACAACCCCAAGATCATGACTTAGCTGAAATCAAGAGTCGGGTGCCCAACTAACTCAGCCACCCAGGTGCCCCGGGAGGGCATTTTGATGTGCCCTCAGACAAGTGTTATTCTCATTTTACAAATAAGAAACTGAAATCCAAGATGAAAAGAGTGTGGCATATGATATTTGGAATTAGACTGGTTTGAATTCCAGCTGTCACTTACTTGTGATTTCTAGAACATATATTACTGAACCTCTTTGAACTTCAGCTTCTCTATATAAAATGGGGATAACACCTCTCTTTTGGATCTTCAGTGCAGGTGTGTTTAGAATGCTTAGCATAATAAGGAGCATGTGCTAAGAATTGTGGAGTTCCTGTTAGTCATCAAAATTCTGTAGAGCCATGTCAGGATAAAATTATTGTCCCCAGTAATTAAAGAAAACAAAATCGCCAGGAATAATGGCATTTTTAATGAGAAAGCTGGAAAAAAAATACTATTGACAAAGTTTTGTTTTGTCAATTAACATATTGGCACTAGGGAGCAAGAATACTGACTGCATTTTGGTAAGGGTTTTGTTTAGCTAGAGCTCTGTGTTCTGAATCTCACTTAAAAATTGTTTTTTAGTAGTTATTGGTAGGAAGCTTTTCTCTAGTGTGCTTTTCAAAAGTTTATTGTCTGTGAAATGTGACCCTTAATCTTGAGATGGCAAATATCAATAAAATGTTCATTGTAGGAAACAGCATTTGTTAAAATTTTAGAGGAATTTTTTTTACTTGATGTTATAGCTTATCACAGGCCAAATTTGCTCACCAACATTATGATAACTTACTGTAACTTCATTGATTAAAGTATCACTGATTTAATCTGTATATAAAGTGAATTCTCTGCTAAATTAGGAAAGTATCTAGTCTCTTCCTACAGGGTTGCAAGTAAAATAAAATGGTCACTAGAACAGATTTGGAATTCCATTTTGATTTGTTTATAGTGTTTGGAGTGTATCTCTTTGTATAACTTTCTTAGTGGCTGCTCTAGGTATTGCAACATATATACATGACTGTACACACACACACCACTTACCACAGTGTGCTGGTGGTGGTTGAGTGAAGTAAACCTTACCTCCATTTTCATCCCTGTATCTTCCTCAAATTATAATTGCCTTAAATAGTTCCTCTGCGTACATTTAGAATATTGGCCACTGTTGTTGTTATATGTGCTTCAACCACTAAGCATCATTTAGAAAATTCCAAGGGAGGAGAAAACTACTGTATTTATGCATAATTTTTACTTTTTCCATTGTTTTTCTGCCCTGATGTTTCAAGATTTCTTCCATCTATCATTTTCTTTTTATTGAAGGAATTTCCTTTAGTCAATCTTTTAGGTAGGTCTGCTAGTGCTAAATTCTCTTAGGTTTTTCTTTGAGAATGTCTGCCCCTTCATTTCTGAAGGATATTTTCACTGGATAAAAAATTCCAGGCTGACATTTCTTTTGGCACACGAAAAATATTGTGCCACTTCTTTTTGGCCTCCACAGGCTCTGAAGAGAAATCCTTTGTTGTTCAAATAGCTTTTTGCCTATAGGTAAGGTGTTGCTGATCTCTTTGAAGATTTTTTTCTTTGTCTTGAGTTTTCAGAAGTTTGACCCTGTCTTGTCATGGATATCTTTGTGTTGATCTTGTTTGGGGTTTGCTTAGCTTCTTGAATCTAGAGTTTGTCTTTTGGAAATTTTCAGCCATTACTATTTCAAATACTTTTTCATCCTCACTCTTCCTCCCTCCTCTGGAACTCTGATGACATGATGTTAGATCACTTATAATTTCATGGGTCCCTGAAATTTGGTTATTTTTTTTCAGTCTTGTCTTTCTGTTGTCCCGACTGGGTAATTGCTATTCTGTTTCAAGTTCACTAATTATTTTCTTTGTCCTTTCCATTCTGCCTTGGCCCATTGATTGAGTGTTTTTATTTAGGGTACTATATTTTTCAGTTCTAAAGTTTACATTGTTCATGGTGTCTTCTGTTTCTTTGAGCTTTTCTATTTCTGTGCTATTTTTCACTCATTTCAAGCATGTTTGTAATTGTTCATTAAAGCGTTTTTATAATTGCTGTTTAAAAATGTTTGTCAGACAGGGCGCCTGAGTGGCTCAGTCGGTTGGGCAGCTGACTCTTGTTTTGGCTCAGGTCATGATCTCATGGGATGGGATCAAGCCCCGAGTGGCTCTGCGCTCAGCGGGGAGTCTGCTTGAGATCCTCTTCCTTTGCCACCCCCCCCCCCCGCCCCTGCTTGCACGCTCGCATGCTCTCTCTCTCTCTCTCAAATAAATTCTTAAAAAAACCCAAAATGTTTGTCAGACAATATCTGTATCATCTTGTTGGGGTCTATTGTCTTTTCTCATTCAACTTGAGATTTTTCTGGTTCTTGGTATGGTGAGTGATTTTTAAATGAAACCTGAACATTGGATATTATGAGACTTTGAATCTTATTTAAATCTATTGTTTATCAGGCTGCCCCCTGACACTGCTCTGATGAGGGGAAGGGATGTGTTGACCATTAGTGTCTGGTGAGGTGGAAGTAGTCCAGGTTTCCTACTCAGCCTCCTTTGACACCTAGGGGATAGGGCTCTTGTTACTAAAGGGCAGGACTGGGAGTTCTGGGAGTTCAGTCTCCTTGTAGACCTCTCCTGGCTAGGAGGAACAGGGCCTTGTTACTGCTGCCCACATGACTTCCACTGACACTACCCTGTCGACCGTATTAGGATACCAGGTTGCAGTCTGCAAGGGTAGAAGTCTAGGCTCTCCCCTCAGCCTTTGTTGATGGGGATTGGGCCGCAGCTAGTTCTTTTGTTCGGCTGGTGTAGAGTGGTTATTATCTAAAAGTTGATTGTCTTGCTAGGCTACCGTTTCTTGGTCCTTTGGCTACAGAGAGCATTTTAGGGTGTGGGGATGGACCCATTTTGTCTCAGTTCTTTGATGTTTCCAGGTGATGAGGTTCTCCAGAGCCAAGTCTGAGTTATGTGAGGCCAAAACCCACAGGACTCACCACTGTGTCATTCCTTGGATCCCAGGGTTCCTTGCTGGTCTGCTTTCTTCTCTCAGCCTTTTAGAGTCTTCTTAGTTTTACATGTTTGTTTTACATGTAATGCCAGGGTTTTTAGCTGTACTCACTAGCTTGTGGAAACACAAAGCCCCTTAGAGCAAATTCATTTAAAATTCATCGTGCAAAAAAAGTCACACATGTGAACAATGATATGTTATGAAGATTATATGGATAAAGAATTACTTATGAAAATTTACTTATGAAACAAAAAATTATATGCACATCTTAATTGCAAGTATATAATCAGTGTACGTTTTACATTTAAGTCTGTGTTTCACTTTGAAAAGAACTGCAAAAAACTCTTGAACCACAGTCACCAGTTTTTAACATTTTGCCACATTTCACTACCATTTTCTCTATATATACATACTATTTTTTCTGAACTGTTTGCAAGTAGGTTGCATATATCATGCCCTTTTACCCCTAAATACTTCAGTGTATATTTCTAAGAATATGAATGTTCTTGTATCTTTCCACAGTTCAGTTATCAAATTCAGGAAATTTAGTATTGATACAATACTTTAACTTCATTTATAGAACATATTCCAGTCTTTGTCAGTTGTCCCAATAATGTCTAGTAGCTATTTTTTCCCCCTCTAAGATCATGTATTGCATTTAGTGGTTATGTCGCTCTGGTCTTCTAAAAGCTGGAACATTTCCTTCCGCAGCCCTTTTTTTTTTTTTTTAATTGAAGTATAAGTGACATAACATATTAGTTTCAGTGTACAACATAGTGATTTGATATTTGTATATATTGCAAAATGATCACCACAGTAATTCTAGTTAACATAGTTAAGAGTAAGTCTGTTACCATTTATAGTTACACATATTTTTCCTTGCCATAAGAACTTTTAACATCTGTTCTCTTAGTAACTTTCACATATGCAACACAGTAATATTAACTGTGGTTGCCATGCTGTACATTACATCCCTATGACTTACCTGTTTTATAATTGGAAGTTTGTACCCTTTGACCCCCTTCACCCATTTTGGCTCTCCACATCCCAGACTCTGGCAGCCACCAGTCTGTTCTCTCCATACATGAGCTTGCTTTTTGTTTTTTTAAGATTCCATACATAAGTGAAATCATACAGTATTTTTCTTTCTCTGGCTCATTTCACTTAACATAATGCCCTTAAGGTCAATCCATGTTGTCACAAATGGCAAGGTTTCCTTCCTTCCTTCCTTCCTTCCTTCCTTCCTTCCTTCCTTCCTTCCTTCCTTCCTCCCTCCCTCCCTCCCTCCCTCCCTCCCTCCCTCCCTCCCTCCCTCCCGAGGGAGCGTGCACGAGCAAGGGGAGGGGCAGAGCAGAGGGAGAGTGAGAGAATCCCAAGCAGATTCCATGCTAAGCCCAGAGCCCAGCACAGGGCTCAATCTCACAACCCTGAGATCATGACCCAAGCTGAAATCATGAGTCAGACGCCCAACTGACCAAGCCACCCAGGCACCCCAAGATTTCCTTCTTTTTAATGGTTGAATAATACGTGTGTGTGTGTGTGTGTGTGTGTACACACCATGTTTTCTTCATCGATGGACACTTAGGTTGTTTCCCTATCTTAGCTATTGTAAATAACTCTAGTATGAACATGGGGATGCATATACCTTTTTGAGTTAGTGTCTCTGGATAAATACCCAGAAGTGGAGTTATTGGATCGTATGAAAATTCTGTTTTTAATTTTTTTAAACATTTTTTAAACGATTTAATTAATAATTTATTGAGACAGAGTGTGCACGAGCAAGGGGAGGGGCAAAGGGAGAGAGAGAGAGAGAGAGAGAGAATCTTAAGCAGACTCTGTGCTAAGCACAGAGCCCATAATGGGCTTGATCTCCAGACCCTGAGATCATGACCTGAGCTGAAATCAAGAGTCAGATGACCAACTGACTGAGCCACCCAGGTGCCCTTCTGTTTTTAATTTTTTGAGGAACTTCCATGCTGTTTTCCATAGTGGTTGCACCAATTTACAGTCCCATCAGTGGTGCATGAGGTTTCCTTTTTCTCCACATCCTTGTCAACACTTACTATTTTCTTTTTGATAATAGCCATTCTAACAAGTGTGAGGTGATACCTCATTGTGATTTTGATTTGCATTTCCCTGATGATTAGTGATATTGAGCACCTTTTCATGTGTTTGCTGACCATCTAAATGTCGTCTTTGGAAAAATGTCTGCAGATCTGCCCTTTTTAAATTGGATCGTGTTTTTTTGCTATTGAGTTACATGAATTCTTTATTTCAGAAATTAATCCCTTACCAGATATAATTTGCAAATATTTTCTCCCATTTGGAAGGTTGCCTTTCCATTTTGTTGATAGTTTCCTTTGCTGTACAGAAGGTTTTGGGTTTGTTGTAGTCCTACTTGTTGCTTTTGGTCAGCTTTTTTTTTTTTTTTCATGTCATTAACAGTTTTGAACAATACAGGTCAGTTATTTAATAGAATGTCCATCAGTTGTGTGTGTCTGTTTCCTCATGAAGAGATGCTGATGGTGTGTTTTTTGGTTGGAATGCTACACGAGTGGTGTTAGGCCCTTGGGTACCACAACTGGAGACACATAATGCCCATTTGCCCCTTATTGTCCATTTATTGACTGGTTGTTATCCAGCTTCTCTACTGTAAAGTTACTGTTTACCTTTTAAAATTAATGTGTAATTTGTGAAAAGGTGCTTTTGGGATTTATGTAAATATCAGGATCTCTTGTTTGTCACTCTCCTCACCCCCCTTAAATAGCATCCATTGATTATTCTGCCTTGAATCAGTTTTTGCTCTGATGGTTGTTAAAAGAGTGAAGATGTACATCTCCTTAGCTTTTCCTAATGTTAACATCTTCCATAACCATAACTTACCAAACTAAAAAATTAACATTGGTAAAGCATTGTTAAACTGCAGACTATATTTGGATTTCCAATTTTCCCACGATGTTCTTTTTTTTTGTTCCAGGATACTACATTGCATTTAATTATCATGTCTTTTTAGTATCCTCCAGTCTGTGATGGTTTCTCGGTCTTTCCTTGTCTTTCATGACCTTGATACTTTTGAAGAATAGTAGGAATATATTTTGTAGAATGTCCCTCATGGAAATTTTATTATTATTTATTATATTTATTTTTTATTTTTTTAAAGACTTTTAAGTAATCTCTACACCCAACATGGGCTTGAACTCAACCCTAAGATTGAGTCACATGCTCTACCAACTGAGTGAGCCAGGTGCCCCAGAGTTGTATTATTTTTAATAAGTGACTAGAACTGAGAACTTTGGCAGAAGAAGAGTGAAGTTAAAGCGCTGGCCTCCTTTGCTCTCTCCTTGGTCTCCAGCTGCACTCAGCTTCTTTGCATTTTTCCCCTTCACTGTACTCTTTGATCTTCAGGCTTGGTTCAAGCTGGTTTTCTGCCTGGAACACTCTTCTCATCTCCTCCCCTTCTAAAGATTGGCCAGTGCCTGGTAACGCTTCCATGCAAAATTTGATGTCACTTACGACCCCTGAGCTTACATCAGCTCTCCCTTCCACGTGCTGCCATAGTATGCCCTACTTCCCCATCATAGCTGATCATATTTTGTTTTTACTTCTGCTCCTCTGTAAGCTCCATTAAGGAAGGGACTGCTGGTTTTGTTCCCCTCTATACCCCCACCATCTAACATAGTGCCTGATACAAAGTAGGCCTCAAGTATTTGGATGAATGATTATTGTGAGATTTAATGTGAACTAGGGATTATGATCTAATTTCTCAAGTATTCTACCATTTAGAGGAAGTGGGAACATGTCTAACATTAAGAGTTTAGTTAAATTAGCATTATTTATCCAGAAGATATTTCATAGCCATTATACATTTAAGTTATGAAGATTATATAGCAACCTGGAAAAACACATGATTTAAAAAAAATACAGCCATTATAATTTCAACTACAACAAGAATTTCAACTATAACAAGAAATGGTTGACTTATTGATCATAAGCTTGTGACATTTAGGGTTTTGTTTTTAAAGTAAACTCTAGGCCCAACCTGGGGCTTGAACTCACGACCCTGAGATCAAGAGTTGCATACTTTACTGACTGAGCCAGCCCCAGGCACCCTGACATTTAGATTTTTATTCTCTAATATGAGGTTGTTGGGAGAAGTGCTTCTCAGGCAGGCAGATGCATGTGTGTCCCTGGGAGGATGCTGTGACGGGTGGGTCATGCAGAGCCACGGGATAGACATGGCATGCTTTCCTGGAGCAGAACATTTGCTCAAAGGTTTTAAAGAAAATGGTTAGTTTTATTATGAAGTAGGGTGCAAATTTCATGGGATTTTTTTTTTTTTTTTAAGATAAAGCATTATACTTGGAAGAGGTTCATGCATGTGGGTTTCTTTGGGCAAATGTCACATTCTGGGTGAAGTGGCTTTGTGGAAATTTAAGAATTTCTTTTTGGTCATTAAATGAAGCCCTGAAGTTCATTAAGCACTCACATGCTGGTGGTTGTACATCTCGTTCTGTCCAGATGGTTACCGTGCAGTGGACTTGCAGCCCCTTTGTCTGATATTTTCTATGTTAATAACTGAAAGCTTTTAAGCTTTGTGCTCACCCTAGAAATGTGTGGCTTATAAATTTTGTGGAAAAAGCATTACTGTAGTCACTGCACAGTTGCACATTGAGAGTTTCACGTGTTCGCGTGTGTTCATTTGCAGTCAGGCGCGATCATGACCGTGCTTGCTGCTGTCTGCACGAAGATCCCGGAAGGGAGGCTCGCCATTATCTTCCTTCCAATGTTCACATTCACAGCAGGGAATGTGAGTATGTTTATGAAGTGAAGTACTGGGGACAGTAGTGATATTTTTACATTAACTGAATTCTTGCCCTTAAATTAGAAATGTCAATGCTGGAGGAATCAAAGTTGTACCAGTTCTGTTATCTTTTGCTGGCTTTCAGGCCCTAAAAGCCATTATTGCCATGGATACAGCAGGAATGGTCCTGGGATGGAAATTTTTTGATCATGCGGCACATCTTGGGGGAGCGCTCTTTGGAATGTAAGTTTGAGCATAACTGATTGCTACGCTGCCTTCTTGGGTCCTCTCCCCCCGCCCACCTTAGGAAGGCAGAGCAAGGCCGTTAACTCTGGGATGGGAGCAGGGGTAGTGGGGGGGGGGGGGGGGAGAAAACTTGCACATGGTTGGCTTTGGCCTGGCCCAGTTTCACCACGTGAGGTGGAAGGTGAAGAAGAGCAGTCCTGCCCCAGCCTCAGTCATTTGTAGAGATGCTGTGCCTTTACCCTACCATTCACCTCCGCTCACCCCAACTCGGGAGCTGTCAGGGTTCCTGGCCCCTATTGGGATACTGTTCCCCACCCGCAGTGTGCGCTGCCCTCTCCTTTCCCTGCTCTCTCCTGCCACCACTCACTTCCCACCTCCCTGTCACCAGTGCTGGGCAGACACAGAGTGGACACTCTGCCTGGGACAAGTGTCCAGGTGTGTGCTACCTGAATAAATGGAGGCTGGGGATCATAAACCAGTGTTGACCACTTACTGGGCATCTGTTAGGTGGCAGGCTTTGAGCTAGTGGTTTCCATTCTACTCTTATTACTTCAATTTTACTGATGGGGAAACAGGCTCAGAAGTGATCTTCCCCAGGTCAGACAGCTAGGAGCAGAGCAAAGATTTAAACCCAGATCCAAAGTCCTTCCCACCTCCATCACACCATATTGAGTACAATAGCGTAGTGTTCACAAGATCTTCCGTTTGTGCGTCACACAATGGAATTTTGCCTAAAACGTAGTAGCGCTGGGGCGACTCTGTCACAACTTCCTCAGGACTCTTGGAGCCTGTCTGACCATGAGAGTCCCTTCAGCAGAGTCATTGTCTATATGATGTACTGGATCCCCTGTTGGACTATCTTTTCCTGCATAAATGTTGCTTTTTGTGACACTTACTTGGTTTTTACTTTGTTTCATGACAATGGAAAACTGAAGTTTTTTAATTAAAAAAAGAAGAAAAATCTATTCTAAGTGGAGCAGTTTTGCCCAGTAGGCGGTGGAACTAAATGCCATTATGCCATTTATAATTTTCAGTGATGATTAAAGAATCGCATATGTGAGTTCTGGCTTTAACAGCAGCACGTTATAAATAGTAGAAACTGACCTGATATTACAGTGTGAGAAACAAAGACTTAGGAAAAAGGGTTCTGTTTTATGAACTCTAAATGTATCTCTCTGGATCCTCCCATGGCTACTTAAAGGATCTTCTCCCCAGCAGGTTTTTATTCTTCTGAACTATAATTAGATGACCTTTTCCATTCTGAAAATAATTGGATCAAATGTATTATAAAGTACAGTATCTGAAAGGCAAAGGAATCCTTTGTCTTTGCTGTTTCTAATTTCAACTCCTTTCATTTATTCGATCTCAGTCATATCCAAAATTCATCTTTTCCAACATCTTTAATTCAGTTAATAAAGTTAAAGATTTAGAAATCGGTACTGATGGTCAAGATTCCATTAGTGTCCTCCTGCATATTTCCTTGACTCTGTGTCCCTCACCTTGTACTTTTGCAGTAGTAATCACTAACATATATTGAATATTTGCTGTGTGCCCAAGTGAAGAACTGATTTAATACTCTTAGATCCTAGGCGCCTGGATGGCTCAGTTGGTTAAGCGACTGCCTTCAGCTCAGGTCATGATCCTGGAGTCCCGGGATCGAGTCCTGCATCGGGCTCCCTGCTCAGCGGGGAGTCTGCTTCTCCCTCTGACTCTCACCCCTCTCATGCTCTCCCTCTCATTCTCTCTCTCAAATAAATAAATAAAAATCTTAAAAAAAAAAACAAAAAAACTCTTAGATCCTGTGAGGTATTCCATTTTACAGAAAAGAAACTGCTTTATTTTATTTTATTGTTTCAAAGACTTTATTTATTTGGCAGAGAGAGACACAGCGAGAGAGGGAACACAGGCAGGGGGAGCGGGAGAAGGAGAAGCAGGCTTCCCGCCAAGCAGGGAGCCCGATGTGGGGCTCGATCCCAGGACCCCGGGATCAGGACCTGAGCTGAAGGCAGACGCTCAACCAACTGAGCCACCCAGGTGCCCTAGAAACTGCTTTAAAGAAGGGAACTGTTGGAAGTCACACAGCTAGTCCTTGCAGAGCTGAGTTTCAGAGTGAGCACTGGGCTGTGCAGCTGCTGCAAAACAAACCAAAAACACCAAATCAAAACTTAGAAATTGGTCACTTTAAAGTGTCTTCCTAATTTTAATTTAGCCAAATGACCAATTATATTTGAACTTCCAAGTATAATCAGAACAGTTTACCTGTAATATTAAAGTATTTGACTCTCTGCTTGAAATAAGAGGGTTACAAAGATTTGGGAAGGCACTTTATAAATGGAGAGCTCCTGACAAGTGATTCATTTCTTGCAAGAGTTTTACAATTGCATTTGAATCTTTTTTCAAATCCTTTTTCTCTTGTTCTGAGTTCACCATAAAATTTGACTAAGCCCAAAAGAATTTTGTAACATGCCTTTTAATTTGCATGTTTTTTTAATGTCTTTTTCCTTTCTGTAAATTTATTATTTTTCAACATTATTTAATGGTGACTAGTTTCATGACCATTTAAAAACTATAGTGAATGTTAAGATTCAAGTACTTTAAAAAAGATTCAATACTTTATAATAAACATTCAGAACATAAAAATTGAAACATTAAACTGATATTTTGATACTAATCTAAGCCATTTATTTATTATTATTTTTAAATAGTTTTATTTATTTATTTATTTGACAGCACAAGCAGGCAGAGCAGAGGGAGAGGGAGAAGCAGGCTTCCCGCCGAGCAGGGAGCCCAATGCGGGGCTCGATCCCAGGCCCTGGGATCATGACTGAACCAAGGGCAGCCTCTTAACCCAACTGAGCCACCCAGGCGCCCCAAATCTAAGCCATTTAAATAGAGCATTTTTTCAGTTAGGTGTCTGGGGAGATGCAAAGATTAACACAGTCTGGTCTCCGCCTCAGGGAACATGAAATCTGTTTGGGCAAACCAGGGCAAAAATAAAGGTTTCACTTATAGCAGCTTTCAATAACAGCCATTCCAAATCAACCCCACCTCCTCCAGGAAGCCCTCCCAGCTTTCCCCCAGCCCGGGAGAGGAGGTGGTAGAGGTGCCCCTGAGTTCTGCTAAGACTGTGCCTCCCTCAGGTAGAGCTTCTGGGCTTGTAGTACCTAGGCCTAAGGGCTTCTAAAGGCAGGCCCTGCTCATTGGTCACTCAGCTGTGTGTGCCTCAACTTAGATGCTCACGAGGTGCTGCAGTGGTGGTGAGGGCACAGCTTTCAGAGTCAGACTTTGGTCCTGGTGTCCTTTCTGGTGATCCCTAGTTGTGCAGCTTTGGGCAGGGTAAATTACTAAGCCTCTCGGTGCTTCAGCTTCCTCAGTTCATTGCTTCAGGCTGCTTTTAGGCAGTTTTAAACAGCAGAATGGGGATTGGAACTATATTTTATTTTAAAAGATGGGCAGAATTTGGATCAGCAGATGACCCTTTGTGTAGCAGGTGGAAGATGAGGAGAAGCATTTAAACTATTGAAGCCCATTAGGGCATCTGGGTGGCTCAGTCGGTTAAGCGTCTGCCTTCGGCTCAGGTCCTGATCCCAAGGTCCTGGGATCGAGCCCCGTGTGCTCAGTGGGGAGTCTGCTTCTCCCTCTGCCCCTCCCCCTACTTGTGCTCTCTCATGCTCTCTCAAATAAAATCTTTTTTAAAAAAAGCTATTGAAGCCATCATCAGTGACCTCGAATGCTGACATTTTTTTTTTTTTAAGATTTTATTTATTCATTTGAGACACAGAGATAGAGAGCATGAGCAGGGAGAGAGGCAGAGGCAGAGGGAGAGGGAGAGGCAGGCTCCCAGCCGAGCCAGGAGCCCGATGCGGGGCTCCATCCCAGGACCCTGGGATCATGACCTGAGCCGAAGGCAGACGCCCAACCATCTGAGCCACCCAGGCGCCCCGAATGCTGACATTTCTTACATTTAATGTAGTAAAGAGAGACCAGGCTTAGAATCTGTCTGACCTTCAGGTGAGTCCTTGACCGACCACTTAGAAGCTGTTAGTCCCTGAGCAAATTTTCTCTGAGACTTGGTTTCCTCGTGTCTTAATGGGGAGGGAGTTGATGCTTAATTGCAGTGGGGAATCAACAGTGGTGTGTGCCGTGCATAGTCCGTCCCACTTTGGCCTTTCACGTACTCCATATTAAAGGTGAATCATTGATCTACATCAAATAAATTAATCAGCTATTTAATAAGATAGTAAATGACCATGGCATTCAATTTTTTAAATGTCAACTTGGTATCATCATGGTACTTAACATTTGTATGTCATACTGTTTGAATGTTGAACCTGGTTTGTTTTTCTTTTCCCCAGATGGTATATTACTTACGGTCATGAACTCATTTGGAAGAACAGGGAGCCTCTAGTGAAAATTTGGCATGAAATGAGGACTAACAGCCCCAAAAAAGGAGGCGGCTCTAAGTAAAACTGGGATTGGATGAGACTGGTGCGTGTGGCCCCCGCTGCCTGGAGAGCCCCAGGAACACGTCGGCCCCGGAGCGACCACATCTTTGCTCCTGCCTGGAAGACACCCGGCATCTAGCTTTCCCAGTATTTTAAACTCTGTCCCCAGTACATGTCTTATTAGAAAGTGAATTATGACAAAGTTGTGAAATAAAGGTTTCTATCTCTAGTTTGTATACAGAGGGTGTGTGTCCCTTTTGAAGAGCGCTAATGCTGCCCTGGAATCTTGCTGTTAGTTGTTATATTTGATGTAGTTGGAGCCATGAACTCGGGAGTGCACAGGGAAAGACCTGAGACTCAGAGATGCTTGTTTTTGTACTTTGGCCTTCTTCCATCTCTGCTTACCCACCTACCCCTTTCTTCGGTTGGTTGGCAGGTAGAAAAAAAAAAAAAGAGGGGGGGGGTCTTCTGTCTGGCGTGAACTGAAATAACAGCTGTAGTATTTTCTAAATTTTCCCAAGAAAGGTAATGTTTTCCGGCAGCGAGTGGCATATACAAAAAGCTATTTTTAGGCTTTGCTTTCTAGATTAAAATTGTAGCTTGTAGCTAATTTAAGAGTTAGAAGGAAATATCTTGGATAAATTCACACTTGAATCTGAGCCTAATTGCATCTTATATTTGAAAATGTACATTTTTTGAACTGAAGCATCATGCTGAACTAGACCATGGTCATCGGAACAGCTTCCCTGTAGAATTCTTGTTTGCCCTCATGATTGAAAATTATTTCCAAGAAATGCATGTTGAGAATCTAAGAGTATTTGTTGAGATGGTTTATAGGAGAGTTTCAGTGTTCGGGGGCCTCAAGAGGTAATGCTGGTCCTTGCAGCTGGAGAGGAACGCAGCCGTCTGTCTTGGAGGGGGGCGGGCTTCATGGAAAGGAGCGGGTTGTGCCTACCTCACGGTGCTGAGCTGAATGACAGCATGTCCCCGCACGTAGGAATTGTCTAGGATTTGACGGGTCTTCATACTCTTTTCCCCCAGATCTTCTCTAGTGTGAAATACCAGTTATTCTTACCAGGCAGAGAGGATTCTATCCTAGACTAATGTCACTTCCAGGAGAGAGGTGTTTTGTTTGTTTGTATTGTTGGTTTTTAACCTAGCCCTTATCTTGCTGGTAAGGAACCAGGGTGGTTGTGTGTGGGAACTGCTGTGCTTTGACATTTTTGAATATATTAAGCTAACAACCCCATGATACACAGATGAGGCAAGAAGCATTTCCCAGAGATGGGATGGGAGGCTGAGATCACACAGACATTCCGTATGGAGTCCAAAATGAAATTTAGGTCTTGCTGTGGGCAGACTAGGAACGCAGGCCAGGAGGACATGGTTAGGGAGGGAGCATTTAGAAGGTCAAGTCCCGAAACCACTTCTCCATCCGTAACATCCCCCAGAGCTGGCACCTTTGAACAGGCAAGTGCCATTCTCCCCGTGAGAGGCCTTGTGAAGGTTCAGAGCCCAGCCCTGGAAGCACGAGCCTTACCGTCTGTAGCTGTGGCAGTTGTCCCTACTCTTTGCCCACTAGGGTGTTTTCTCACTGTGGCTTCTCTGCTGACACTTGAGCCCCCCGAGGCCATGGTCTGCCGGCTCGTGTGTCTCTCGGCCTGTGCCGTCTCTACCGGCCTGTTCAGTGTGGTGCCCCCAGGAATGCAGCGGTCTCCTCTCGCTCCACCTCCCTTGGCTTCAGTTGTCTTCATGAGGATGGCTTCTGAGCTCTGGGCCCGTGGACTGTCTCTGTCCTCAGTACGCGCATCTACTGCAGGCCGGGTATGGCTTCAGGTGCCGGGACCCCACTGCACAGGCGCCTCAACCGTCATTCGTAGCTTAAGGAGTGATCTCACCAGCTGGAAGCCACAAACTTGGGAGCCATTCTAGATTTCTTTCTCATTTCTAGAATCCAGTGCCCCTTCCATTCCCAGCGCCTGCGCCTTAGTTCAGCCCCTTGTCTCTGACCTGGACTGTTGAGACTCTTCTCCAGCTGGTCTCTAAAATTTCCTTGTGTGTCTTCATACGGCCACAGCTGAAAACACGTCAGTCATTCCCTATTGCCCTCCATGAAAAGCTTTTAAATTTAGTGTGGCTCCCGAGGCTCTCCGTGATCCAGCCTCTGATGCCTTTGGCTGAACCTCCCAACCCCCTACCCTGCATTTCCACCCTGACCCAACTACTCTCCGTCATTACAGGCGCCCCCCCGCCCCCCCGCCCACTTCACTTGTTTTATCCCGTTCTGTTGCGCCGACTACACTGAACCTCCTGGAGTCCCCCAGCATTATTCCAGGTGCACAGTAAGTGCTCTTTGTTGCTTAATGAATGAAGAAATAAAAAGAGCTACCTTTTTTTTTTTTCTTTTTCCTGCAGGATGGAGTATTGTCACCAAATGTCCCAAGTGGCTAACCCAGGGCCCTGGAGCACAGAAGTCACACAAAGTTTGCCGGGCCCAGGGAGAGCAGGTGTGTAACCTCCCAGTGTCTTCCCAGTGTGCCTCTCTCCTGCTGCCTCCTGGGCCATGGCGTGGCCAGGGCAGCTGTCTGTCACTTTGCTATGACTGGAAGCTGAGAGGGGATGGTGTGGGAGAGGAATCTGTACCCTGACTGGCCAGGGCTGCACTGCAGTTTTCTCCTCTAAGATGCAGACTGGAGACCGTCCAAGTATATGCTGGAGATGGAGCTCTGGGTAATTAATGCTGTTTCAGTAGTGTGATTAATTAGTCCTTGGTCTGCAGTGCACATTGAGGGCATGTGTCAAATACTCAGGAAGTCTTTTGAGTGTGGCCAGGGAGTTGTTTCTGATGCCCTGTCATGCATTAAACAGACTGACCTTTAGCCTGGAGGATTACCCAAACTTTGCAGTAAAAAAAGAATGCATGCACAGGAGGGGAGGGAATTTTTGTAACGCAATGGCCAAAGATTTGTCGGCAGCTTTATAACGCCAAGTCCTCTGTTGCCATGCTTTAAAATGAGGGATTTTTAGAACCCAGGGAAAGGTCAGTTGAGGGCTAATGCCAGTTCTCAATGAAAACCGGATTGGTTGTTACAAATTCAGCATCGTAAAGGCAAATAGTGACTCACTGGCTGATTCAAACACGTGTCCTCCGGAAGCATGGCCCCGGGTCTGCCCAGCGATCCTCCGCATCGCGGCTCCTCCGCTCCCGGCGCGGAGCAGCCTAAGCTCAAATGCTGCAGCCCCGGCCGCTCTACGAGCCCCAACACCCTGGCAGCGGCGGCCTGCGCCCACGCCGGCCCGGGACCATCAGCGACGGCATCGCTGCCAGCCGGTTCTCGCTCTCGGCGAAACCAGGTCCCATTTAGAAAATAGCATTAAAGGAACTTTGGATTAAATTATGAAACCTTCAAGCTGGACACTAGTGACTGCCTGCAGGCGTTTCCGGGGGGAGGGCCCCGCCCTCCCCCACCCACCTCCCCGCCTTCCCCCACCCACCTCCCCGCCTCTGCGCCCGCCCGCGCACACGACCCCAGGCCAAGCCGGCCCGGCACCGAGCCCTCCCCTCCCCGGACGGCCTCCCCCAGGCCAGGGGGCGGTGCTGCGACGGCGCGGGGAGGGCCGCGGGGGCGGGGACGCCGGGCGGGGGCGGTGCGGCCCGGAGCGCCGGGAGCCGAGCGGCGGGCACCGGGGGCCGGCATGGCGTGGCCCTGCATCAGCCGCCTCTGCTGCCTGGCGCGGCGCTGGAACCAGCTGGACCGCTCCGACGTGGCAGTGCCGCTGACCCTGCACAGCTACTCGGACCTCGAGAGTGAGGAGCCGGGCCCAGGCGGCGCCGCTCCCCGCAGGGGCCCGTCCCCTGCAGGCGCCCGGGACCCCGGCCGGGACGTGCCGCTCACTCAGTACCAGCGGGACTTCGGCGTGTGGACGGCGCCCGCGGGGCCCAGAGATGCTTCGCAGGGGCGCGGGTCGGGTGCGGGCGGCCGCAGGAACAAGCCCCCCGCGGCCCCTGGCCGGGGTGTCTACGTGCTCCCCATCGGCGACGCGGACTCGGCCGCGGTAACCACGTCTTACAGGTATGGGCTTCGGGCAGGGGAGCGCGTCGAGTCGGGACCCCGTGGTAGGAGGAAAGGGAGGCCGTGAACCATGAGGACCAGCTTGGTGGGGAGGGAGAAGGCACCTGGAGCCTCCATCCCACAGCACTTGGAGAGCTGTAGGCGGCCTCGGAGGTCCTCCCCTTTGGTCCCCGGGCACTGCGAGGTGTCGCCTTCGCTGTTCCCTGACCAGCCTCAGAGTGAATGAGTGAGCATCTCTGCTGCTGACAGGGAGCTCACTACCTTGCTCACAGCCCCCTCCCCTCTCCCCCTCTGGAGGCAGCCCTACCAGAAAGCCCTGCCTTCAACTGAGTTAAAATCGGCTTTAACTTCCACCAGGTGGGCTAGCGAAAGGCAGGGTGCGTGCAGGCCAACTGCCAGAGCTCCCCCTGCCCGGTGCCCTCCGTGGAGGCATTGGTGGTGAGGACCAGCTGGGGCTCCCAGTAGATGGCCCCCTGGGGATCTTGCCACGTGACTGAGCTCTACGGGTCCACCCTGCCCCCACCTTAGCTCTGGCCCTGGACAACTGAGGGCTTTCTTCTTTGTCTTATTACAAAAGTAATATAAACTCACTGTAGAAAAACTGGAAATTACAACAAATTAATTCCTTTAACCTCACCCAAACTGGTAGTTCTTTCTGATCCTTAACCCTTGAGTTCATATCCATTTGTAATTCTTACAGGTTTAGATTCTGTACACATTTTTCCATCAATTTTGGATTTTTGCATGTTACTAGATTTTTTTACAACACGAATTTTAGTAGATGTGCAGTGTTCTATCCTAGGGATATACATTTGTCCATATATTGATATATATGTCCAATTATTAATCTGTCATTATTGAATATTTAGGATGTTTCTAATTTGGGACCATTAAAAACACTTCTTTTGATCCAGTACTTCATTTCCAGGAGTTTTCCTTGCAAGTATCCTTGAATGTGGGGTGGGAGTTAAGGAATATAAGGTATGTTGCAACACTGTACTGCAGAAGCTGGAAACAATCCCACCGTCCTACTGATGTAGCTGGTTAATTATAGCTCTACCATAGGATGGGCTATTGGGAGGCCTAGGATGTACTCATAGCAGAAGGTCTGAAGATCTTGAATGGGTACGTGTCAAAAAAACAAAATGCAGAACAGTGTGTCTGCTGTTTGTGTTTTTAAAAGGGGATATTGATATACACGTATCTGCTCAAATAAGCACAGATATCTCTGGATGGATGTGTGGAAACACAGGAATCTTTGGTGAGAGGAAGGGGGTGGGGAGGAAGGGATGCTGCCAGGGGTGGAAGGGCACTGACTGACTTCTCACCCTCTAAAGAACTGTTTTTTTAAACATGTACACGTGTCACCTTTAAAAAAACACATTTTTAAGGGAAAAAAAAAATTTCTGTGATGAGCATCTTATAGCTAGCCGTCTATGCACGTATCAGTTTCTTTAGAAATTCTGACTTGTGGAATTAGAGCAAAAAGGTATGAACTTTCCCCCTCAGTTTTATTATTTTTAAAATCAACTGTATTAAGGTAGAATTTCTATAGAGTAATTATCAAGACAGGTAGAAGGTTCCATCTCCCCATGGCTTCCTTCATGGGCATGCAGTTTTTCAGGAACCTGACGGGGAAAGGTAGTTGCAGGATGGGTCTTGTGTCCACTGATGCGTGCTCAAGCTGGGTTGCCAAAACGCACAGGGGAACGTCAGCGGGCAGGGCCACCACCGAGCCCAGCTGTGGCCTCACCCCGCCGCGGAGGGTTCGGGCTGTTGCGAGCCAGCGGGGAGCCAGCTGGAGGGGCCTGAATGGGGAGAGGTCCGCAAGGCCCGAGGGTCTGGGTGTGTGGTACCTTCAAATGACTGATGTTCCGGGCCAGGAGCAGGACCAGGGGCAGAGCCCGCGCAGAGCTAGCTTCAGCTCAGGGAAGGAAGAGCTTTCTAGTAATTCCAGTGGACTGATGATGAAGTGAGTGGCCTCCGGGGTGAGGCTGAGCTCCTCCTCACTGGTAATATTCAAGCAAAGGCGGGGCTTTTAGAAGCGGCCCTTCACTTGTGTTGAGCAGATAGCGGCTTTGAACGTCTCGCTGGGTCCTCCCAGCTCCAGTGATACTAAAAGTACAAGTTGTTATTCTCTGCTTACCAAGTACCAGAAGCCAGGCTCAGGAGTTCCCATAGATTATCTCCCCAAGACCTCACCCCCTAAGATGCTGCTGCCTCTGAATCCCTTTGTTTCTTTCTTTCTTTTTTTTTTAGATTATTTATTTGACAGAGAGACACAGCAAGAGGGGGAACACAAGCAGGGGGAGTGGGAGAGGGAGAAGCAGGCCTCCCGCGGAGCAGGGAGCCCAATGCGGGGCTCAATCCCAGGCCCCTGGGACCATGACCTGAGCCGAAGGCAGACGCTTAATCAGCTGAGCCACCCAGGCGCCCCAACCCCCTCGTTTCTTGAGCTGTGTCCTGCAGTGGTGGAAAGCTACGGCCAGGAGCTGGGACTCACTGGAGCTCTTGTTTCCTGGGGTATAAACTTGGCGGGTCACTTGGCCTCTCTGACCCTTTCCTCATCTGTAAAACAGAAAGAGCCAGAGCTTGACTCCCTGGGTCCCCACACCCCCAACTCCAGCCTAGAACCCAGGACCGCTGCTGAACTTGGCTCCGCCAACCCCATGCCAGCTGACCTCTGGGACCCCTCACCTCCCAGCTCTAGGACTTGACGCGGGAAACTCCATTCTGACTCCTTGTAGGACGCATGTTATCTGAGCGAACTGATTGCAGAGATTCACAAAACAAAAATGAACAGATCCAGGGAACCCAAAGTCACTGGAGTCCTCGTGGCCGCTCGCCACTCCCCGCTCGTCTCGTGAAAACTGACCGGCCTCACTTGCTTGGCCAGATGGGCGCAGCGGCTCTTGCTCTCGCAGCCGGCCTGTGTCTCTCCTGAGCAGCAACCAGAGCCTCCCCTCTGGAATTCTCTAGGTGCCATTCAGCACCTTTGGCCCAGGTTCTAGTTCCACTCACTCTAGAAGACCTCCTTCCTCAGTCACCTTTCTCTTTCCTTCCTGGGTGGGCAGGGAAGACCACTGAAGTGCCTGGCACCAAGGTTCATTCTAACCTCCTGCACGTGGGTCAGTAGCCCTTTTCATGAGGAAGCTGAGGCTCCGAGAAACGAAGGGATTTGAAGCCTTGAGGACCTAGGGCGCTCGGCATTGCCACGGGTGGCCCCTGGCCCTCAGTGGGACTGTCGCCCTCAGGGTCCAGCTGAGGCCCAGGCCAGGCGGACAGGAGAGCCTGCTTGGTCAGGGGAGGTACCTGGTGTATGTGGCTTGCCCTGTGTTTTTCTTATCCTCTTTGCCAGAGCCATAAATCTGCCCTCCTCCTCTCCCTGGCAGTCACCGGGCCCAGCTGATTCTAGGTCTGAGGTTCCTTCTCCATCCCCACTGCAGTCTTCCCTCCCTGGTCTCCGGCACCAGCCTTGCCCCAGGAGCGGCCAGGGGCATCGCTCTAGCTCCTGGCTCTGGTGGCTTTCTGTGCTGGGACCCCTGCGGCCACCCTGGGGCGACAGGCTTGGGCTGCCAGGCCCAAGGCTCAGCTCAGTTTGGGGACAGAAGGGCACGCCCAGGGGAGGACCTGCTTCCTCAGGAGAAACAGAATGGCAGATGGCTCAGGCAGCTGGTCCTTGGAACCTTGCAGCTTCAGAAGCACAAGTGATCTGCTCGGGCCCTGGCCCAGCTCGCCTCCTGGCAGCCCCGCGTGCCGACCACAGACAGACACAGCTGCTCCCTACCCCAGCGGCCAGCCCAGTGGGGCCCAGCTGGGCTGCTCTCAAGGACAGAGGCAGCTTTGTTGACCCCTGGGCCTGAAACCCAGCCAGGACTGTGGGTGGGAGGAGACCAGAATGGGTCCAGCCCACATGTGGGCGCTGCCCCTGGCCAGCCGGGCACTTCTCCACAGAACGCTGCCTGGGCCGGGTGCTCCTAGGGACACAGGTCTCCGCCTTCCTGAGCTCACTGTCTAGCACGGGGGTCGATAGAATTAAAAGAAATAGGTCTTACTTTGTGTGCAGAATTGAGGAATTAAATCCTTGTCAAAACATGTACTCTGAGGGGCGCCTGGGTGGCTCAGTCAGTTAAGCGTCCGACTCTTGATTTCAGCTCAGGTCATGATCTCAAGGTCATGGGATCGAGCCCCGAGCCCCGCCCAGCGGGGAGTTCAGCCAGGAATCTGCTTGAGATTGTCTCTCCCTCTGCCTCCTCCCCCTCTAAAAGAATACATACATAAATCTAAAAAAAAAAAAAAAAAACAAAAGCACTCTGAGAACACGGAGCTGGTGTGTGCCCGCCTTGGCTCTTCTGTCTAGGGAGTCAGCCGCCCCCCACCCCTCCCCTCCCGCATCCAGGCAGGAGCGCCTGTGTGCGCGGTGCCCTGCAGAAGCCAGACCGGCTTGTGGTTTGAGACAGTTACTACAATCTGTTGTTTTGTAGGAGTTCGTAAGACCAGTTATTAAAAAGTAAACCTAATACCGAACCTTATTTCTCCTCATTGTAACCAGCACCTCCTATGGATGTAAAGGCCCCCAGTGACTTGGTCTGGAAGTGACCAACCTGCACTGGTTCTGGGTGTCTCGGGCCCCTTAGTGGCCTGGAGACAAAATGGGGAGCATCGAAGGAAGGGCTGGGACTTGGTTTCCAATGCCCAGCACATACCAGGTGCTCACTTCTAGATCCAAAGCAGGATTTTAGCAGTGGAGATTGGCCAGGACACTCCAAGAAGCACAGGACAATGGCGGCGGCCCCTGAAGTCGGGAGGGATGACTGACCCTGAGCCAGGTGGTGACCGTGTTCTCTCTTCCAGACAGGAGTTCCAGGCCTGGACCGGAGTGAAGCCGCCGAGATCCACAAAGGCAAGAGCCACCACAGTTCTCACAACCCACAGCTCCGGATGGGACCGCAGCCCTGGGGGCGGCTTCCAGGTCAGCCTGAAGCGGGCGCCGCAGGGCCAGGGGCCGGGCTCCCGGCTGCAGAGGATGTGGGAGCAGAGGCCCTTTTTCCAGGCTAGGGACTAGGAGTCAGGTTTTGATGATGCAAAATGGCATGAGGGCCGAGGACAGCAGCGTCTGAGCACCCAGTCTTCCCTCAGCCGAGGGGGGGGGGGGGTGCGGGGCGGGGGGGGCATCGCGTCTCCCTAGTGCTGGCTTTCTGGCGAGCAAGGTGTCCCTTTCCCTCCTAAATCCCAATCTTACCCTTGACCGCTGAGCACTCATGATGAGCCTTCCACGTCCCTGGCATTTGTGTCAGAGAGAAGGTGGAAAGGAGGTTGGGACTGTTCAGCTTCCTGATTCCACCCAGAGGAGGCATCCGGGAGCGGAACGGAAGGTCCAGGTGCTGTATTTGACCTACTAATGCGGTGACTCCGCCCCCTGCACGTTTCCCCCACGGACCCTTCAGGTCAGCATTTTCAACTCTTGGAGGACAAAGAGGAGGAGAGGAGGCAGGAATTTTCTTCCTGGAGCTGGGGGCGGGAGGTGGTGGGGAGGGAGTGTTGAGGGAAAGGCACACTGATATGGGGCCACATTTCATTTTTCAGGCTCCTGAGGGGAGGAAGAAGTTCACCCCTAACCCATCAGCCATCTTTCAGGCTTCAGCTCCCCGGATCCTCAATGTGTGACCGGCCACAGCGGAGTCAGAACCCACTGCCACCAAGACGGGGCTGTCCTCGGCCACTCAGGGACTGGGGTGAGATCCTGGGACTGTCCCTCTGCCGTCTGAGGGGAAGGGCCCGTCTTGCGTGGGCGCCACTCCTCCCCAGCTGCCCCCCAGGCTGTGGGCCTGGCGCAGATGGACACTGGCACCACCCAGCTCGGCTTTGGGCCTGAACCATCCTCTTGTTCCTCAACGACTGTACAGAAGGCTTCAGATCTTTTTTTAATTGCCTCTTTTGGCCACCCTTCAGTTTTGAAATCTGAAGAACTTAAGGATCAATTCTGTTGTAAACTGAATTGGTCTGTGCTGGCTGAGGAATATGGACAGGACAGGTGCTTGAAAGAACTAGTAATGTCCACTTGGTTGTTTTCCCAGGCTGCATGAGAACTTTGTAACCTATGGTAACCCAAGGGACTGTCCTTGGAGATGCCTACAAATGGCCCCACGCATTCAGGTTGAAGAAATCTTGGGTTATCCCCTGCACGTGACTTGAGTAACTAGGATGTCATTTCCAAAAGGAACAGAGTATCAATCATAGGGTTTCAATTTCAAAGACATAATTTGGGGCCCAGGTGACCCTATCCTTATGTTTTAACAAAAGGCTTCGTGTGAGAAGTGCTTTCAGTACTGAATGAATGACATTGACCTTGTAGGTTGTAAGTACAACCACATTTTATTACTAATTCCAGTTTTTTCCCTTACAGTTGACGACTAGAAGGGAACAGCATACACACTGGCAAAGAACTGGGAGCTTTTTTGGGACGAAGTGGCATTAGCCTCATTCCCTGAAAGACTTTAAGTCCCGTTCTCTACACCTAGATGACTCCCACCCTGCTCCCTCACTTACAGTGGGGCGAGCTCACTGTGAGGAGGCAGCTGTCGGCTTCGGGAAGCTGCCTCCTTTGCCGGTAAGTCCCAGCCCACGTGGCCACACGGCGTGAGCCTGGCCCAGTTTGCACAGCCGGCGGTCAGACATGTGAAGGAGTTTCTGTCCCCGCTTAGAGATTAGAGGCACAGGCTAAGGGCAGTTTTTGGTAAGGAAACTCAAGGATTTCCCTGTGGCTCTTCCTCCCCGTCCAGCCCTCGCGCGCTGTCTGGCGAGCGTTTACCTAAGCCATTTCCCAGCCCCTCAGACGTGGAGCGGGGCCGGTCCTCGGAGGGCTGGCTCTGGCTGGCACGGCCTTCCTCTTCAGCGCAGCAAAGCAAATGCTCGGAATCATTTTAAAGGCAGAACCCCAACTATGTGCTTACACAAAGGGTTCTGCTATCTGACTTCATTGGTTTGCATGTTAGACGTTTCTAAGAGCAAAGAGACTGCCTGCTGCTGTGCATTCCGTGGGAAATGAGCAGAGTAACCGTACAATCTCAGATTTTACTAAAATGCAAAAATGCACTGTTACAATTTCTTGTTAGCTCATTTCTTTAATTATAAACCTGGAGCGCCTTCTCATACGTCTTTATCCTCCTCTGGACTTTGGGGGATCAAGGCTATTACTGGTTGCCCCTTGGAGGCTGACAAATCCCAAGGTCTGTCCCTCCGGACTGCCACCCACAGTGGTGTCGGACGCAATAGTCACAGGACACACCAACCTCCCCTCTCTCACGTGCACCGCCCCTCCGCACCCCCAAGGCTAGGGTGAAAAACCATCTCTGAAGCTAGTCTTGGGCTTAAATCCTGACTTCCCTACTCACTAGCTGCGAGCAGTTTCAGCTTCCATTTCCTTCCCTGCAGAGTAAGAGTGGCTCAGAGAGTTCCTGTTTGTGGGCGGGGTGCTTATTAGTACAGTGAATGGCCAGCAGAACACAGGACAGTTGTCCCTTCCTGCCCAGGCCAGGGAGCCAGCTCTATTCTCCTTTGCAGCTTTGGCCCATCTGATGCCACTGACACAGTCCCTCTCCCTAGACCCTGCCTGTGTCGCCCTTCCCTCCGCCACAGCGTGCAGACCAGACTGAAGGGCTGTACCTCAGCCCGATACCACAGGCCCGCCTTTCCCGGCAGCCTTGGCACCTCAGCAGCGGGCGCACCCCCGCCTCACCTGGCCTGTCTCTGAAGGCAGACTGCTTGCCCAAGAGCCTTTCTGGAACGCACCAGAACGGACAGCTTTCCACAAAACCCCGAACTCAATAATCCTCGTTACCAGGCTTCATTATTAATTAGGAGACTGGGGTTCTGAAGAAGGACCTGCCTCCCACCCAGTCTCCGTCTTGTAAAGCCCAACATCACGTCACTGGAGTGGCCTTGCAAAGCAATGGGACGACAGTCGCAAGTGTGTGGTACCAACCCACATACGTCATACACACATATAAAACGGAGAGAGGAAAATGCAGCGCATACTAACAGTGGTTATCTTTGGGAAGGGGAATTATGGGTAACTTTAAATTTTTTACACCTTACTATATTTGCCAAAGTTTCTATATAATAAGCATTTTTGTATTAATTCTGTAAAGAGCAATGTTTTTAAAATAAAAAGTTCAATCTGTTAGCGAATTTCGGCCAAAAGAAAGCGTTCAGTATCTATCAGTGATTCCACAACCAGTGTTAGCCCTGCCAGCAGCCGCCTTGAGGATGCGGCGTGAGGCCCAAGTGGAGGGGCCCCTGAAGTCCTCCCCTCCAGTCACGGAGACCAAGGTCCCGCCTCTGTGCTCCACGGGGCTTCAAAGCTTGGAAAAACCCAGCCCAAGTGGGACTACTTTCCTCGCTGTACTAACACCAGGATTTTAGGCCAAACTCCAAAAGCAGCTTTTGAAACACTGTGACCCTGCAGCCCAACCTGGGCAGACGGGGGAACCTCCCCTGTAGTGGGGTCAAGTCCGCCAGCGCTGTTCACACAGGCTTCAGTCGCTAAGAGGGAGTCCCCAACTGAGGGTCTGCCTGTGACGTCAGTCTCTGTCCCGTGGCTCCAGTCAAAACTGTGGCTGAGGTCAACATTCAGGAAAGGAGCCTAAGCAACACCCCTGTTCTTCCTCCGGACACTTCAGTTCCCTAAAGGCTGCGGCGAAGCCTGGTCCCAAGAAGGCCACGGACCTACGCTCTCTCATGAAGCCTCAGCCCTGCAGAACTTCCTGCCTTTGAAGAACCAAAGCTTTCAAAGCCCTTAGTCTTGTTAAGGGGGCTATAAAAAGTGGTCATTTCTGCAGTGTTTCTGCATCTTTGGTCATTTTTGTTTTTAGCCGCTCTGCTAGCAGATGGTCACAGCAGGACTGTGGCACAGGAGTAACTTCTTCCAGACCTCAGCATAGACCGGTTCCAGCTTTCTGGACAGACCGGTGTGCTTTGTCAGACGACAGGAATGGTTTCCCTCCTTGCCTGGACTTTGAGGAGGCTGTGAGCTCCATTAGGTAGTTTTCCTTTGCCCCAACCTGTCAGAAATCCTTATTTCCAGGGTCAGTGTGCATCTTCCAAAATTTTTTTCGGACTTTTATGTAACTGAAATCCTTTATCTTGCATAGCTGCAAATGCTTTTTGGAAAGAAGTGGCAGAATTAATGTAAACACACCAATTACCTATACTGCCCCATCCCAGCTCCTCCTGACCTCACGGAAGAAGAACCTACCAAAGTAGTGCTTCGAACTCAGAAAAACCCATCACAAATACTAAAAGATTTATTGTAGATTTCTGTTACACAATTATGTTACACATTATGATACAAATACATTTGAAACATTAACACATATGGGAACTGTTAAATGATTTAATATTTCTTTTGCAAAAAGATAATTTAGGCTTTCATACCTGTAATAAATCAATCTGTTCTCATTTGGATCAAATCCTCCATCCTGCAGATCTGTCACAGTCCACTGCTGAATAAATCTATGCACTTGCCCACTAACCTCGCTTGCAGTAGTTAATGTATAGAGTATCTGAGCCTTTATGTACTAAACTATTTTTTTTACTAAGCCCGGGCATGCCCGATGCCTTACTGAACAGATTTCCTTGTGCATCTGCAATCCTCAGATGCTGAATAAAGGGCAGATCTCTTAGTCACCTCCCTGCCTTCTGCTCCTGACCCAAACGTCTACAGAACTCACGAAAACTTCAATTATGTTGATTGGGTAAGTTTGATTCACAGGCTTCAAATTGCCTTCAAATTGCAGATTCCTGACAAATCTCTCTCCTTTCCTTCGACACAGACTATGTTAGGAAGATTAGGACAGAGTATCTATAATGGAACTGGGCATCATGCAGGGCCCTGCAGACCTTCCTCCTTCTGTTCACTTCTCCCACCAAGAGGGCTCCGCATCTGGGCACAATCTATTCTCACTGCTTCTGAGCACGGACATTCCTGTCTTGTGGCTTCAGCAGTCATTTCTCTATCTTTAAGGCACTCACAGTGTTTCCTTGAAACGCTCTTCTTTGGAAAAGCCGAGTGGCAAAGAACAGGACACTAAGTCCCCTGACAGGACTTAGTGGGATGCCAGCAGGCCTGGCCCAGGGGCTGCTCCCCATTGGTCACTCAACACGGGGTAACCCGCATGCCCCGCAAACGCTGTGGAACCAGCTCTCTGCCCGGCACACATGCAAAGCTGGTCTGAGTCGGCCAGGTGCCTGGGATTACTGACATAGAAAGAGCTGCTTGGTTAGTCACACCTTTCCCGGACCCATGCTGGGACCTGCCTACCCCTTGACTACACTCTGACCTTGGCTGTAGTCACGTTCCCGTGCTCCATGAAAAAACACCAGTGCACAGAATGCGGGCTCCCAGGCTCTTCTGACTTCTGCAAGGCTTTACTGCTTCCTACAGCTGACTGCGTCCCCGACGCCACGGCCACCTGCTGAGTGCGGAAGCCCAGCCCCTACTGGAGCTTCCTGTAACCCCAGAATGGGTGAACCACCAGCATGCCAGACTTATTTTCTGCCTCGTGGAGGGAGACTCAAGCCCAAGGTGCCCCATGACACCCAGAGAAGGACCTGCTATGTGTGGCCTGGCCCAGCTCGGAAACTCTCTCCTGGAGCCTTTCCAGAGAGAGCAAATGCAAGCTGACAGAGCACATACCCACTCACAACTTCATTCTAAACTCAGAAACTTCTGTCCTAAAGGGATCTGATTTGGGACCGAACACTCTGGTGTTACAGTGAATTAGGTGGAGGCAATGGTTTGGGAGCCATAATATTCCGAGGCACACAGAAAATAACCTCCTTCCCCAAAGAGAAGAGTCGTCACAGTTCGAAGCTTCGGCTACATCTGCAAATCCTGCTTTTCTAGGGGCATCTTCATTCCATTCACTGATCTTCATTCAATATCCCCATGTGTTTATTTGTGAGAAAGTCCAGAAAAGGAATGTTGCAAATGGCCTGGTGAATGTTACTCACTGTAATTTCTTTGGGAATCCTGTCCAAAAACAAAGCATTATTAGGTGCAGTTTTCTCAAGCATTTAATAATATTTCATCCACTTATCAAAAGCCCCCCCCCGCCCCCAGGCCTCCTGGAAGGGGACAGAGCTGAGGCACGCTTTAGGGCCGCCTGCGTGGGGATGGCCAGGTGCGTGCTCTTGCTTGCTCTCCTTTCCCATTAATTTCTTTAATTTTGGTAAAGACTGGCCTGCCCGGGCTGCCTGGGTGGCTCAGTCGTTGAGCGTCTGCCTTCGGCTCAGGTCATGATCCCAGGGTCCTAGGATCGAGCCCCGCATTGGGCTCCCTGCTTGGCAGGAAGCCTGCTTCTCCCTCTCCCACTCCCCCTGCTCGTGTTCCCTCTCTTGCTGTCTCTGTCAAAATTTTAAAAATCTTAAAAAAAAAAAAAAGACTGGCCTGCCCTCTTCACAGCCTGCCCTACGGCTCAAATCTGACTTCTCAGTCACAGGCATGAGATGGATTTCAAGAACTTGGTTGAACAATGAAGAAAAAAACCTCTGAGGATTGAGAAAAGAGAAGGAAGTAAAGTGGACAGCAAAACAGAATGATGTTCTCATCATTCAGTCTTAGCAGACAGAGCTGAGTCAAAGGGCTACAGAACTGCGGGACCATGTTTCCACCTGTCGGGGGGAGGGGATACAGAGTTGTGCCAGGCCAGGGTGATAAATGTTCTTATCAAGAGCACCCCAGCTACTGTATCTCCACAGCCAGGACAAGGGAGGTGAGCAGGGGCCACAGAAGGCATCAGCCCACTGCTGGGTTTCACACAGGACAAGGAGCATTCCTGGAACTCCTGTTTCTCCTTCCTTCTTTCTTAAAGATGTCTTCCACACTGCCTGAGGTATTCTAATCCTGTGAAGTCTGACCTAACAGTCCTCTGATGTAGGCCTCTTTATGTCCTCAGGCACTTTTAATACAGTTTTACAAATTTAGGACAGGCTTTAAGGATACTGGGATAAAATACTTGTTTCCTTTGAAAGGATGTGGAACAAAGAAAGGCCTGTCTGCCATGCTCTGGGGCCTAGGAAAAAGGCAAAACTCAGTGTCCCGACAGCAAAGCAGTGGTGAGTGGGGGAGCTTTAGAGCCAATGAGGTCTATCACCCAAGTGCTGGGAAAGCCAGGTAACGTGAACGTTCAGAGCCTGGTTTCCTGACTTCTAAAAAGGGGGCTAGAGTTCTCCAATGAAAAACAAATCAGGTAACGTATGCAATGTCTGACCCCAACATCTGATACGTCATGGACAATATTATCATCTTTAATTGCGAAGAGCTGGTATTGTTCAACTTGGTAGCGGAACAGAGTCCTAATGAATAGTGTGTCTGAAGGAGTGATTAGGAAGATACAGACCTCTGGGCAAAGCTGAGCTTTCACACCACGGGAGTCTCAAAACGACCAAGCAGACCCCTGAGTATGTCGGGCTCTGAGAATGTCCCAAGCACTGTCACCTCCATCTCCAACTGGATGAGGTATAAAACCTCTTCATGGGCAACTTACCTGTCAGGAAATACCTGTAAGCCTAGTACCACTGACTAAAGAGATCTCAGTACCTGTTGTGAGATGCTGTCTGGTATCCAACTGCCAAAGCCTGTCTCAGGATGTCGTTCACCAGCTGCTCCGTGGCCTACGACAGAAGATAGGGTTACTCTCGAAAATGGCCACATGCCTGCTGGTGGGAAGGGACACATCTGACCCCATCCCATATACAAAACTTTGGAAACAGTTGTACCTAAGGAGCAAAAGTCCTTAAGAAAACACTAAAGGTCCAAATAATAGACCACAAATATTACATCACAAATATAAAGGCCATGATTCTGAGAAATTATGAATGGGGGGAATGTTCATTAATCAGACATTGTTTTTAAGGAAAACCGGTGAGGGGGGGTCCCCTAGGTGGCTCAGCCAGTTGGGCATCTGCCTTCGGCTCAGGTCGTGAGCCCAGGACCCTGGGCTTGAGCCTTGCCTCGGACTCCCTGCTCAGCACTAAGTCTGTCCCTCTGCCCCTCACCCCCCCTCCCCCGCTCGTGCTCTCTCTTAAATAAATAAAATCTTTAAAAAAAAAATAAATAAAATCTGGGTTATTTCCATTAAAAAAAAAAAAAAGGAAAACCGGTGAGGGTTATTTGCGAGTTGTCCCTGCTGGAAAAGGGGTCCGATGGAGCTAGATCAGGCCGGGTAAGGAAGCTAGTTTGCCATCCTCTTGCCCAGGGTTGGGACAATTGTGGCTGTTTCTCTGTTGTTGTGACATGTGGAGAAAACCCAAGGCTCTGCTTTTGTCACCTCCTAAAGCAATGAGAGCACTCTCATCTCAGGCTGCTTCAGAAGGCACCAAAAAGAATCGTTCGAGTGACATCAACACAGAAACTCTTATGGATGCTTTCACACTCAGAAGACCTGTGATTTAGTTCATTTAAAAATCAGAAGAGAAAAAAGAGAAAACACTAAGCCTGATTAAAATGAAAACTCTTAAAACTTATCATCTCTGTTCCATTTGTGCCCTTGTCCCTTACTCAGAACAGCCCAGGACCCAGACTATCCTGCCTGCTGGCGCCCTGGTGCTCCCAGGCCCGCGGCTGCCAACAGGCGCCCACCTTTAAAATCATGTCCTCCACCACCGAGGCGTACACGTTCCTGTGAAGTGCCACGGGCTGCAGAGTGATCCCAATCTGGAAAAGCGGAAGAAAGCCATTCGTTCCTATCTCTACACTAAAACCCACCTCTCCAAACAAGCACACTTGTCGAATACCCAGTTGAAAGAGTAACTCTACAAGCTCTCTGGACAAAACTCGGGGGAAGGGACGCGAGACCTAACAGCTGGAAGAACACACGATCCTGTTTATCTCAGTTTCTGAGTGCTTGTTAAACATGCTAGCAGAGTCCCGCTTTTACCCCCAAATCTCCTTCAGGAAGAACATGGCCAGGATTTGCAGGAATTCTGATTGTGGGACCGACCCACTGGGAAGCCTGGAATCAGACTTCAGGCCCTGTTTGACGAAGATACACTTGGAACCTGTGCTCGCCCCGTTTTGCATTTTCTCCTCTAAATGAAACAAACCCCACCTTCCGCTCTGGGTCCCAGGCAGCCGTACCGGGGACAGGTGGGCAGACGCCGCCGCGCTGCTGAGCCCGGCCAGAGGTGGAGAAGGCATCCCCTCCTGCGCGACACGGGAGTGCGCGGGCCGCACCCACACCATGGGCAGGGCCCCTGGGAGCTAGAAAAATGTCAGGGAAGGCTCGGCCTCTCAAGTACCACTTGGCAGTATTAGGACACGTGCCTCAGGAGGGAGTGGTGTTTCCACGGAGGCAAATGAGAACAAAGAGGAAAGTAAAAAATGGTCTATCCCTAGATGCCTCTGCTTCAATTCCATGGCCAGCAAGCAACCTTTTCACATGGAATTCGTTTTCTTGCCCTGATGTGGGAAAGGGGATGTCCAGGGAGCATACCCTAAGTTCATCAGGCAGAAGAAACTCACACTTTTACTTCACCAGGAAAGTCTGGTGTCTGTGTATAAGGCTGAAGGTCTGAGCATCTCACACCGGAGGCCACAACCCCTACCTTCTGGGTGATGTCACCAATAAATTCCGACCCCAGTGTTGGTGGCAGGTAGAACTTCATTTCTTCCTGTTTCTCTTCCTGTTCTTTTTTGATGTTGATCTTTAACGGCTCCGGGAGGCTGAGGATGTCCACCTCCTCTTCATTCTCTGGCTCTCTTTTCTGAAACTGCTGCAGGTCCTCCAGTTTCCGGCAGAGGTTGTCGGCAGAGGAGAACGATGACGGGCACTCTAAATGACAGGGGATCAGTCTCAGGACAGCTGTGCTGGCCACAGGAATGGACTCCCCATCTC